GAAAGATCTACTTTTTTAATAATAAGAATTTGAATAAATGAGAGTCATTCATTACAATATCATATACATTATTAACATATCAAGTATTTATTATTATTATTTTTTTTAAACTAGTAAATCAGTATTTAAAGACACTATTATTATTCAAGATGATTTAAAATTAATGATACAAAATGTATAATATCAATAAATATAAAATTTTCTAAATTGAACCTTCTTTAGTACAGTGGTTTTCAAATTCAATATTCAGTGTGCTCAGATATTGATATTGAGTGATGACATTACCACAAGTCAATGAATGTTTGTTATATTTTTTTAATGATTACAGCTTACTAGAATATAGCTTAAGTAATTTTTAACTGAAATAAATTATTAGTTATACTGCTGGATATTTAAATACTAGGTGATCATAATTAAACTATCTCTATTCAACACTGTCTAAAGCAGGGATTCCCAACCTTTTTCATGTATGAACTGCTTTTAAGAAAAACTTTTTTCATCAACTTCCTTAAATATACATATGTATAAACATATCTTAATAAATTTTCTATATTTGGAAAATTTGGAAAATGATAGCGAAAATGTATTTAATATATGTATATATCCATATGTATCTAATTTGTTCATCAACTCCTTCCAAACTTTCATTGATACTGACCCCATAGGGAAATTCTGGTCTAGAGAAATATTTAACAGTTCAAATACAACCAAATCCAGTATGGTGACATTTTAGGACATGTAAAAGACATTTCCATAAAAAAATAATTAGTTCCAAAACTTGCCAGTATGGCACTTTTGGTGCTGCAAGCAACAACATTTTATTTATAGAAGGCATTCATGTTATACAGAGATACAAGGAATACAGTTCAATAGGTCCTCATTCTGAATGAATTGAAGGAGTAAAACCTAAATGCGATGAACAGTGTGCTCAGATATTGGCATTGAATGGTGACTGTAATTGATCCTCTGTGATGCTTCTCATATGCAGTCTGATACTGTCTTTCAAATCTGCTAAATTTGCAACATGTTTTCTTTATACTTTGACACTTAAAATTTTTAAGTGTCTCACAACCAGAAATTACACATTAAGGTCAGAGAATAAAGAGGCTAGTCAGAAGAAAATGCATGATTCTAATCACTATATTCTATATGAAATGTTGTTAAAAGTTCTGTACACAGCATTCAATATATGAAAACTATCTTGTACACCAATTTGCATGAAAGTAGTTGACTCAAGGCTGTTGTAGTTGGGTTAAGACAAAAATGTTGAGCATCTCTTAATATCTCTGGGCCATTATAGAGCATGTCACAACCCAATTGGGACTAGATTCTTTGGAGAAGAATGATTCAAGAATAAATGAGGCTATGAAGACAAACAGGACTGTAACTTTACGAGAATGCAAAGGAATATGTCAGAAAACATGAGGATTTTCTGTGCTCAAATGCAACAGTTAAGGATGTTCACTATTCCACTGAGGTGAAAATGTATCTCATCACTTTAAAGAATTTTCTATGATTATTACACATTCTGGCAAAGAAGGTCAATGCAAAGATCAGTTGAGTTTCCTTGCCAGAATGAGAACTTTGATCTTTCTTGCAGAGATTTATCCTCCCTGCAGTTGCACACTGTAATTTCATGGGGCCCAGGTGAATCTAAATTAGGGGACCCCATGTACAGTGTTGACTTCAGATATTTTTCTTTGGGGGGAATTTTTTGAATATTTTCTTACAAAAGATTGGTTGGGAGGTCGTTGCTGGGGGCCCCAGGCAATTGCCTTTTTTGTCAATAGGATATAATGTGCTATTGTCTCCCAATAGTCTTCTGTTAGAACAGCCCATTAATTTACATAATATTAAATTTACAAAAATTGTAAAAAATTCTTGAAAAAGGGCTTCATCACATTTAATTCTAAAATAAATATTTTAAAGAACTATAAAAACATTCATAATTGATGAAATAGGGAAGATAAAATTCACTCCAGTAGTAGTCTATAAGTAAAGGTCTGTTGTGAAGTGTGCACTTTGTCATTTGTAGAAATATTTCATTAATTATGAATGTTTTGACAGTTTTTTTAGATATTTATTATAAAATTAAATGTGATGAAGCCTTTTTACAAGAATTTTTTTACAATTTTTGTAATTTTAATAAATTTTTATGGCAATAAAATGCCTAAAACCACAGCATTGTCATTGTTTTAATAAAACAGCTTCATAAGAAATGTACATTCTGACAAGTGATGGATGTCATAGCTAAAAATGATATTTAACAGTTGTGGCCATTTTTGTACTCAGAACTTAGTTGTAACACATCTGCTTATGCAAAGGAAACTGATTTTTCATTGCTTATAGCAGAAAAAGTGCCATAGTGGTGAGTTTTGTTACTAATTTTTTACAAAAATGTATTCTTTGTGTCCTGAAATTTGCCTTACCAGATTTAGTTGCATTTACACTGTTAAATTATGGCTGTATGCCATCTTATTTTGTATAATTTTAATTTAGATTTATATTCTTTCCTTTAAACTTTATTCTTCTTTCCAATTTCCTTTGTTCTATTGCTTTTGAACTTCCGAGAATTCTGACTCACCCCTTCCCCACCAGGAGGTAGGGTGTGAACACAATAGGCTATGAAAAGGCTGGAGGGAAAAATCTGAATTCAGGTGGACATTCTTTGTCCAAACACAAGAGGAGACGGATGTATAACAGCAAGGCTTGAGAGTCTGAAATTGTCGCGTGCTGTGGAAGAGGGCCTGAGAGAACGGATTGAGAACCAAATCAGATAGATAGACCTGGAGGTGACCCCTCGGAAAAAGCCAATTCCTGAGAGAAAGGAACCTGCAAGACTTGGAAGTTGAAACGAGTAACTACAGAGAATTATTCACTGAGAAATTGGGTCCCCACTGTCCTATCATCCTTCTTACTTCCCCTTCAATCTATCCGTCTTACATTAGATTTAAGCTAGATTAAGACTCGCATGTGCGTTAGATAAGTACTATTGTCGGGTTGGTAGTTGTGACAGGACCCAACTACCTAGATCACTGTTACATTGCAAATACAGAAGATAATTGGAATAGTAAAAGGAGCGGGAATCCATAAAGAACTTATAAATATTTATCTCTATCGCAAAATTAAATTTGTTTTAATTGGTTATCATGTGTACATGCTTTTCCCTTTGCATTGCACCTCTTACAAAATATCTCTCTAGATAGTACTGGATAGAGATATTTTAATTACAATCATTCATTATATAAAGTAAGAAATATTTTCATTTTATAAAGTAGTAATATTTTCATAAAAATTTTTTCAGAGGATAGAAAATTAAAAATTATCACTGTTACTGTGAAGACAGGTATGTTAATATGCATGCTAGCTTTGAAATTTATTATTTTATTTATTTTAAATTTTCATTTATTCTGTTAATTCATTGTAAAATACAAAATTTATAATAGTAATTAAAAGCATAAATGTTACAATATATGTTTTTACCAGTTGTTGTTAGCCAAAAATGAATAACTTGTGATTAAAAGAATAATTTTAATCACAAATCATTTCTTTCATTGTATGAGCAAATAGCAAGTGTCTAGTAACTTTTTCAGACAATTACAAATTAATTATAAGTAACAGACTATTTTTTATTACCCAAAAAAATTGTAAAAAATTTATTTATTAACTTAATTTTTTTTGTAATATAACTATAAATATACATGTTAATAATAATAATTATTATTTATTTTAGATTTTTAGATATTTTAAAATATGGTATACAAAAAAATTTTTTAAACCTATTTTCGTAGTTGGTGTTGGGAATGTGAATATAGTTTACATAGTATTGTAGTAACTCAAGCATACCAGGATATGCTGAGGTGTAAAAGGGGAATGTATTGAGGACTTTACAATTTCAGACAAAACAAAGCCAGGTTTATTAAAAGATATATATACAGCCTTGGACTATGGCTAGTCTCTTTAGTTATATATACATATGCCTTGTCGTGAACAATTACTGTAGTATGATTCTGTACAAAGAGAACAATTCCGATCCGAATGATATATTGAAATCACGTATCAATAATTACGATTATATACAAAATGAAGCATAAACATGCTCTCACGTTTCTTCTTAGTTATTTTCGTATATGGGTATCCTATTCAACACACATTAGTCCATAGATCAAACTTAATCGCCCACGTTTCTAATAAGGTCTATAACTAAAAATTATAGTCTTACTCATGAAGTTCCTGGACATGATCAACACATTCTATATTCATATATCTTGTCTTCTTGGAGATATATTCGGATTACTTAACAAGAAAAAATTTTGCTTGTTGTAATACTGTTACTTCTAAGGTCCTTTGCATTTCACTGTCCTTCTAGTGTCCAGTTGTGAACTCAGGAGCCAGAAAAAAAAAGAGATCTCGAGCACGTGGAGACGTTGAATTTATACTTCCCCACATCCGGGAGTTCTGTTTTGGCATGTGAACCCACTCTGAACCAACCAGCAGGTTCAGATTGGTTCAACAAAGAAAAATGGTGGTACCAGGGAACGAAAGGAACACAACACGAATAAATATACAAAGAGTCAATCCTGATACAAAATTAATGGAAACCGCTTACATGCTAGAATAACATAGAACTTATAGAAAAACGATACAAAACACATAGTAGCATAGCACAACAATATAGATAACAAGTAACTTTTTGATAGACATTATATTCCAATTTTTAATTCTAATTAATTTTTTCTATTTGATATCTTAACCATGAGTTGTCTACTACTAAGCTTTATTATTCATTCAAAATAATATAGTTTACATTCCTTGTTAGGATAGTATATTATTTTTTTTAATGAAGAATATTAGTTAACATTTTATNATATATTTGTACAGATGATATTTTTTATTTTAAAAACCTTCTTTAACACTAATTATTTAAAAACTTTTACAGAAAAAGATGTAAAATTATTAAATGTAGAAATTGTATCTGAAAACAAAACAAAAGCTTATCTTGGTGGTTATCGCAATATTGAAACTGGAGTTAAATATTTTAATGCAAATTCACAGACAACATTGCCGCTAAAAACAGGGAAAAAAGAATGCTTTTCTCGGTAAGGTTAGATTTAAATTTATACTTATTTGCAAACAGTTTAATAAATACTGTTTTACTTAACATTTGCATATGGTTCCTGCTTTATTCAAGCAAAAACATTCGTATTAAACACTAACTCTGCTAATCCTCAGGGATAAGAAGACATGATTTCTTGAAATGAGCTTAAAAGTATTAGGGACTTTTTAGAATGTTTGAGTTTTAATAAAGTAGTAACTGTGTAAAAATTATTAAATGTAGAAATTGTATCTGAAAACAAAACAAAAAAGCTTATCTTGGTGGTTATCGCAATATTGAAACTGGAGTTAAATATTTTAATGCAAATTCACAGACAACATTGCNATTAGTACAATGCAATTGTATTCTAGAAAAAGCTTTTAAAAAATTTGACTATTTCTGATAAAAAAGCTAATTGTTATCCATAAAAAAAGTAGATTTAGTAAATAGTATTTATTTGATTATTAGCATTTTAAAATATAATTCAGCAATGGCAAACTTCTTTCCAAAGGTGGATAAAAATTGAATTCAAAAAATTAATAACTCCAAATTGTGGATCTAATATTTAAGTTGAGTAATTAAAAAAATAAAAAGTTCTTACAAATTTTGCTTTATTTAACTTTTCAATCTATATCAGGAAAAAACAATTACACTATACAGTGTGTTCATAAAGTCAATGTGCAATTTAAAAATTTATAACTTTATTTATTAGTATTTATGATAGAGAAATTATATAGAATGTATTGGAAATAAGAAAATCTATATTTTTTTGTTTTATTTATTTTATTAAGTTTCTACATGTCCACCATCATTAGTAATACAAAGGGTAATATGATTTTGTAGTTCTCTAAAAACATTTGCCAATTGATTTATGGTAACACCTGAAATCACATTAGTTACTTTTGCTTTCAAGTCTTCTAATGATCAAGGTTTCGTTGCATACACATTGTTTTCACATGTCCCAATAAAAGAAAATCTAATGGAGTCAAGTCTGGTGAATGTGGAGGCCAGAAAAATGGTCCACCTCTTCCAATCCATTATTAAATAATTTTACTTAAAACTAGGTACATTAAGCTTTCTAGTACATTTTACAGATTTTTCTATCACAAATACTAATAAAGTTATAAATTTATAAAGTTGAAGACAGTCTGTCCAAAAGGACTTGTTGCCAGACTGCTTTTATAAAAAAATAATCTCCATCTGATGAAAATTTACAGATGAAAATCTACATGTATCATCACCAGGGGGCAGCTTTCATCAAATCTACATTTTCCAGTGCTTGTTTTTAGTAGATAAAAGCAATATCACCCCAAACGAAGGTATGATGGATACAAGAAAATGTCTGAATGTCACCAGTTCCTTTTTTAGAAATTATTTGTAATTTTAATTGGATATATATTTTGTGTTTTTAAAAGGACTTTTTAAACTTCTGGCAACAAGTAGCCTAAAAAGAAAGGTCAGTTGCCAAGAATGTATTGTCTGGAACACAGAAATAATAAATGGTGGTCCCTTTTGGGCAGACTGTCTTCAATTTTATAAAAAATAATCTCCATTTGATGAAAATTTACAGATGAAAGTTAAATTTTTTAAATTGCCCACAGACTTTATGGACACCCTGTATAAGAGAAAAAATAATATGATTGTAATGGAAAAAATATTTTGTTTAATGGGAAATCTTTTGTTGTTTATTTGATGTTTATTTTTCTGTTTGAGGTTTGTAATCTGTGGTCTTTAAGACTCATGACAGCTTTAGGATCTTGCTTTCACACTACACATGCAAAGGTTGAAATCTATCAAAAATTTTTTTATAATTTATAAAAATCTAGTACTTTCTAAACGTTCAATGAAGGTACCCTGAAATCATTGCATGGATTGGGTTTTCCATTGCTAATATAATCCATTTCAGTTTCTCAATAAATATGTATCCGGTACATACACATATGTGTATGTGTGATGTATGTAAATATTAAATCTTTCTCAAAACTTTTCACTATTGAATTTGCTTTTCTTATAAATTTCTTAAATATTAAATTATTACTGTTTGATCTATTTTATATGTTAACATGATAAATTTATTTTTATTTGTTTAAATCAAAATAAATTTAGAGATTTGCTTATTAATTTAACTATTATTGTTATATTTTTGAAAGATCTACACAAACTATTTGGACCAAGCATCAGTCTCAACAAGTCTGCAAAGAAACATTTACTCAAACTCCAAGAAAAGGTTTTTACTTTTCTTCCTTTGGTGAAAAAGTTATTTCTGCTAGACCTTATAAAAGCAGTGATGAAATCTTTGCTCTTAAACTTCAGACTGTAAATACTTTTTATATACTGTATTATATTCTAATTTAATACAACAAGAAAAAATATTCAGTACACGTATATTAATATAACGAAAGTTTTAATATGAAGAATCCTTTCAGTTAACTAATTATTCTTAATACAACAATTAATTATTCTTTCATTGTAAAGTGGCAAAAATTAATTAAAATTTTATTATATGCAATAGAATAACAAAATATAACAATAAAATTGTAATTTTCATTGGTATTATTATTAGTACAATGCAATTGTATTCTAGAAAAAGCTTTTAAAAAATTTGACTATTTCTGATAAAAAAGCTAATTGTTATCCATAAAAAAAGTAGATTTAGTAAATAGTATTTATTTGATTATTAGCATTTTAAAATATAATTCAGCAATGGCAAACTTTCCAAAGGTGGATAAAAATTGAATTCAAAAAATTAATAACTCCAAATTGTGGATCTAATATTTAAGTTGAGTAATTAAAAAAATAAAAAGTTCTTACAAATTTTGCTTTATTTAACTTTTCAATCTATATCAGGAAAAAACAATTACACTATACAGTGTGTTCATAAAGTCAATGTGCAATTTAAAAATTTATAACTTTATTTATTAGTATTTATGATAGAGAAATTATATAGAATGTATTGGAAATAAGAAAATCTATATTTTTTTGTTTTATTTATTTTATNTTTAATGAAAGCAAATTGATTTTTCTTTTATTTAGTGTTTAATTTCATATTAAATTAAACATAATGGTTATATATTATGAATAAAATACATTTTAGAAGTGATAATTAATTAATAAGCTTTAGATGTGATTAGAGTTGAATAAAACTTTCAAAGTAAACAGAAAATTCAGAAAAATTCATTGAGCTAGTGCCTCACAGTTCACTATCAATTTCTTGTATTGTTAATGGAGACAGGTTGCCAGCTAATTTTGCAATGTTAATGATTTATTGATAACGAAATGATTCAAAATATTTTCTTCAAATAATTTTACAACTTATTAAATAAAAAAAAGTACAATATACTCTTAAGTAAAGCCTTATTGTTCAAGAATCAACTGCACTTACTGTACTTGTTAAGCCATTTAAATTATGCCTTGACATTCTGGAAGTAGTTCTGATGTTCAATATATCATTCTAAATAGCAAAAGTTAACACAGATTTTTTGTATTAATACTATTTGTATTCCTATTTGTATGCGTGGAAATCTGCAAATCAGATAATCAATAGTATACTTTATATAGTGGTCTTTGCTTATACCTGGTATGTAATTACTAACATAAATATACTGGTAGTATTTATATAAAAATTTGCAAAATTTTTGTAATTTAATCATTTATAATTCAAATACTTGACTTAATTGACATTATAAGCTTATAAACTTAGTTATAAAATATAATATTTAATTGTATGTTTCTTTTAAAAACAGTTACTTGTTTATATAATTTTTAATATTTCTTAATGGATTACTTTATAAAATTTATTTATCATTCTACAGACTATTATATTTATTATTTTTCAATCTACAAATTTTTGTTGTATCTTTTTAATGTGAAAATTTTTAAATGAAAATTTTCATTTATTTAAATGCAATATAAATTTCTTAAATATTAAATTATTACTGTTTGATCTATTTTATATGTTAACATGATAAATTTATTTTTATTTGTTTAAATCAAAATAAATTTAGAGATTTGCTTATTAATTTAACTATTATTGTTATATTTTTGAAAGATCTACACAAACTATTTGGACCAAGCATCAGTCTCAACAAGTCTGCAAAGAAACATTTACTCAAACTCCAAGAAAAGGTTTTTACTTTTCTTCCTTTGGTGAAAAAGTTATTTCTGCTAGACCTTATAAAAGCAGTGATGAAATCTTTGCTCTTAAACTTCAGACTGTAAATACTTTTTATATACTGTATTATATTCTAATTTAATACAACAAGAAAAAATATTCAGTACACGTATATTAATATAACGAAAGTTTTAATATGAAGAATCCTTTCAGTTAACTAATTATTCTTAATACAACAATTAATTATTCTTTCATTGTAAAGTGGCAAAAATTAATTAAAATTTTATTATATGCAATAGAATAACAAAATATAACAATAAAATTGTAATTTTCATTGGTATTATTATTAGTACAATGCAATTGTATTCTAGAAAAAGCTTTTAAAAAATTTGACTATTTCTGATAAAAAAGCTAATTGTTATCCATAAAAAAAGTAGATTTAGTAAATAGTATTTATTTGATTATTAGCATTTTAAAATATAATTCAGCAATGGCAAACTTTCCAAAGGTGGATAAAAATTGAATTCAAAAAATTAATAACTCCAAATTGTGGATCTAATATTTAAGTTGAGTAATTAAAAAAATAAAAAGTTCTTACAAATTTTGCTTTATTTAACTTTTCAATCTATATCAGGAAAAAACAATTACACTATACAGTGTGTTCATAAAGTCAATGTGCAATTTAAAACTTTATAACTTTATTTATTAGTATTTATGATAGAGAAATTATATAGAATGTATTGGAAATAAGAAAATCTATATTTTTTTGTTTTATTTATTTTATTAAGTTTCTACATGTCCACCATCATTAGTAATACAAAGGGTAATATGATTTTGTAGTTCTCTAAAAACATTTGCCAATTGATTTATGGTAACACCTGAAATCACATTAGTTACTTTTGCTTTCAAGTCTTCTAATGATCAAGGTTTCGTTGCATACACATTGTTTTCACATGTCCCAATAAAAGAAAATCTAATGGAGTCAAGTCTGGTGAATGTGGAGGCCAGAAAAATGGTCCACCTCTTCCAATCCATTATTAAATAATTTTACTTAAAACTAGGTACATTAAGCTTTCTAGTACATTTTACAGATTTTTCTATCACAAATACTAATAAAGTTATAAATTTATAAAGTTGAAGACAGTCTGTCCAAAAGGACTTGTTGCCAGACTGCTTTTATAAAAAAATAATCTCCATCTGATGAAAATTTACAGATGAAAATCTACATGTATCATCACCAGGGGGCAGCTTTCATCAAATCTACATTTTCCAGTGCTTGTTTTTAGTAGATAAAAGCAATATCACCCCAAACGAAGGTATGATGGATACAAGAAAATGTCTGAATGTCACCAGTTCCTTTTTTAGAAATTATTTGTAATTTTAATTGGATATATATTTTGTGTTTTTAAAAGGACTTTTTAAACTTCTGGCAACAAGTAGCCTAAAAAGAAAGGTCAGTTGCCAAGAATGTATTGTCTGGAACACAGAAATAATAAATGGTGGTCCCTTTTGGGCAGACTGTCTTCAATTTTATAAAAAATAATCTCCATTTGATGAAAATTTACAGATGAAAGTTAAATTTTTTAAATTGCCCACAGACTTTATGGACACCCTGTATAAGAGAAAAAATAATATGATTGTAATGGAAAAAATATTTTGTTTAATGGGAAATCTTTTGTTGTTTATTTGATGTTTATTTTTCTGTTTGAGGTTTGTAATCTGTGGTCTTTAAGACTCATGACAGCTTTAGGATCTTGCTTTCACACTACACATGCAAAGGTTGAAATCTATCAAAAATTTTTTTATAATTTATAAAAATCTAGTACTTTCTAAACGTTCAATGAAGGTACCCTGAAATCATTGCATGGATTGGGTTTTCCATTGCTAATATAATCCATTTCAGTTTCTCAATAAATATGTATCCGGTACATACACATATGTGTATGTGTGATGTATGTAAATATTAAATCTTTCTCAAAACTTTTCACTATTGAATTTGCTTTTCTTTTAACGTTTTTTCTATCATCATTTTATCATAATTATTTATGTAAATATTTTATTTTTGAATTAGAATTTAAATATTTAAAAAAATATATTATAAATAAAAAGTTATATATATTTTTAAGCAATTTATATTTTAGGTTAAAGCCCTTCAAAGACATTGCAGGAAATTTTTGGTTAAACATAGGTGGATGAAAATACAGAATCAAGTTCTGGAAAGTAAAAAGTGGAAAAGAGCAAAGAAACTAGAAAGAGACAGAAACAAACAAAAATTGAAAGAACTTGAAGAAAAATGCAAACTTCATCCTGAAAAAAGAATTGAATTTGAAATTTTGTTCAATCGACTTCAAAGTAAAGAAGAATTAACTTTATCTAATCTATTTTCTTTTGTTATTATTAAATCATATATTTTTTATAGTTGCATATTTAAATCAAGTTAAACAGATTAATGATACAAAATGGGGAGCTGAACGTTATGCCGCTTTGAGTATGGTTACTGATATAGAAGCAAATATTATTCGAGAAATAAATGCAAAAAGGAAAATTGCTATGGATAATAAAAGTACAAAAAATAAAATAGCTTTTCTAAAGAAGGTAAAATTATTTTATAAATTTAAAGTATTATTTTTGATAAATGTTTCAAAATTTATTTTTGCAAACAGGCAGCAGCTCCCAAAGTGTGGAAATTAACTACAGGCGAATGGAATGTAGAAACTGTAAACACACTTAAAGGTCAAGAACTAAAAGATTTATACTGTACATTAACATTGCCTTATTTGAAACAAACAGAAAGAATAGATGCTCTTTTAACAATGATACAGATTGTTCAAGTAATTAAGATTTAAGTTTTGTATAATTTAATAATATAAATATATTTTTTAATATAATTTATGTAGAATTTTGGATTGAATAACATATTTATGAAACATTATGCAGTCAAATCTCTGTTTCAAACATAATTCATTCCTAAAAGTTGTTTGAAAACCAATTTGTTCTAAAACTGAAACAAATTTTCCCATAAGACAATATAAAGTGAATTAATCCATTTCTGATCTCCAAAACAAAGCTGTCTTTTTAGCTGTATTTCATGCATAAAAATACTTACAAATGCAATGTATATAATATTACATTGCATTTGTAGGTATATTAATATATAATATGATATTATATTAATAAATTTTTGTTATTTAATTTGACTTAAGCATCTTTAAAAACAAATCCTTGGATGCTATCTACATTACATAAATCTCTAGTAATGTGGTTTTATTAATTAATTTGATTTAAATTCAACTGCAGCACAACTGAAAAACAGAAATAGCATCTTTTCTGTATGCACATTGAAATCTAATTTAAATAGCAATGTCATTGATTATTTGTGTTGTGACATCTAATGATATGAGGTGATCTTAGCATCACTAACTTCTGAATCTGTAGTCCAATTGTTGATTGGTCATGACATCCATTTTTTCAACATAGGACATATGGGGTGTTGACCATCTGTGTCTCTCTAATATGTGGCAGGCTCTTGTTGAGTAGCTTGTTTGGCAAGTATTGCAATTATGAGTTTGAAATTCTGTTTGTGAACTGATTTGTTTGAAAAGTGAGATGTTAGGAAACCAAAGTTTGACTGTAATTAATTATCACATAATTATCATAATATTTTGCGTCCTTGATGTCAATTATAACATTAAGGTCCTGTCTGTCTCTCTCTCTCTCTGTTTTCATGTTCTTTTCATGGATTACAATGGAACAGAAGACTATCTGTAAAAATTTCTGAGGATTCCATGTCCTCAGAGGAGCAGAGTGGCAATTTTACTACTACAGCCATATGGCAATCTAAAAAGTTAGTTGAAAATGTGCAAAGAAATTTCAGTTAATGTATTAAATTTCAGTATTCAGTAAATGTATTAAATACTATTAAATTTTAATATTAAGCATTGTTGTCAGCCAGATAGTTGTCAGCCAATGATTTGATTTTAGTTTGATTCAATCCCAAATCTCCAAAGGTGGTAATTTGTGAATTGTTACTTTCCAATGATATTGATATCAAGTCAGTGAAATTTCAATTGTGAATAAGTTGTTTTTATAGGTGTTTTATAATATAAAAGATCATTGAGATTCAGTTCAGAATATTGTAACTGGATGAACAGAATGTTAAATACATCAATCTTATCCTATATTCTTCAGTTGATTCTATTACAATGTGTGTATACAGATAGATGTACTGGATTTTATAAAACTTTTGATGCACCTTCTTATATATCAAACATTGTATATTATTGATTTTAAATACTTAGTAAATATTAAAATTTATAAACATATTTTTATTTATTTAATTATAAACAATAATATTTTTATAAATACTGTATTAATGTTTTGTTTTATGTGTTAATTATATAGGCACATGACTGTGAATTAACAAAAGAACTTATACATTTAGCTGAAAGAGAAATCAGTCTTTTAGAAAGAGGAATTAAAGATGAAACTTTACAAGGACTACATCTACGTATTTTAACTTTATTCTGGAGTTATGTTAGTCAACCATTATTTAATCCAGAAACATCAAAATTAAGCAATGTAAGTTAAATTTTGTTCTAAATTTAAAATAATTTACTTTTAATTAATATTAATTTTAAAAAAGTAATCTTTGAATACTTTTTCATAAAATTATAGTTTTTTTTTTTAAGTTCAAATTAATGTTGGATAATCGAGAAAATCTTATTAAATTATTGAAAGAACATTCAATTTAATTTAAATTCATTATTAAAATGTTGACTATTATGAAAATTATTAATTTTGCATTTTGTTTTACATTTTACTCACTTGTCAGTGAAGTTTTCCCTGTCTTCCTTTAATTGCCAATTATCTTTCTTCCAACATTCATTTTTAATTTTGAATGTTCTTAGACTAGAAAAAATAATCAGTTCTTTACACTTATATAAGTTGGATGATCTAAAGAGTATTCAATTTGCAATAAAAGTTGATAAAATTAAAACCAAAATTCATTTTAGCAACAATTTTAATTTAATGACATTTTAATTAATTTTAGTGAATGATTTAACATTTTCAGATACTTCAAAAAATTAGTAAAACAGTAAATAAATTTATTTATTTTTTAAAAAATATTTTAAAGAAATAAACATGAATTTAAAAATATTTTTATTATATGATATTGAGTAAAATAAAAATCTAATTATATTTCAATGCAAATAATCACTCTACTAATTTCAGTTGCATTAACGATAAATGCATTTATTAATACAATACTGGACTAAATATTCAGCATACTTAGAACCAAAAGTAGTCCAGATTTCTGGATACAGGATGAATATACACTTAAAATATAAAATAAACAATGGAAAATAAAGAGCAAAACTGTCTTTAACAAACTGTATGCCAGCTGTCATACTGGAACTGGCATTGTGCAATTGTAAACATCACAGAAACCAAAACAAAGTCACTGCACGATGAATTACAGTTGTACTATAATCTTCCAAATTCAAAACTATATAATTTGTTTCAAAAATAGTTGATTTTCTAGTAATTGTGAATTTATAGAAGCTGGTATTTGTCTGGAACTACTATAATTGATATTTCTTGAATTTTAATAAGTATTATAAGTAATTATCAAATGAAAGTTCTTTGAGTGATTATTTTTGTTGAATTGATTAAAATATATTACTTTAGAATTTAAAAAAATTAAAGTACAGTATTGCTAATTATTTTTATTGCAAAATAAATTGTGCAATGCAAAAAAATTCTTATACTGTATTAAAATAAATTTTTAATATGCATATTACCTTTTCAATTATTATGTTTTTGTTTACTTTGTATATACTTTATAGAACTTTATATAAATGTTTTATCAAGCAAAATCATCAAAAATGTAATAAACAAATATCATATCATATATATAATAATGAATTTCAAAATAATAAAACAATTTATTTCAAATTTATCTTTACTCTTATTTTATCTTAAAATTACCTTTCAGAAAAATACAATTTCTTTAAACAAATTTTCACATTAATTGATAATTGCCTTTCAGCAAGTAAGATCAGTGATGCTTTAAACTAAAGAAAAATTATACTTAAAAAATAGAAAAACTAAATGAAGCTTTAACAATCTTTCTTTGTGCAAAGTTTGTTGGAGGTTTGCAATTGAAAATTATTAAAACTTTCCTATTAAAAAATATAAATATAAATCATAATATTTATAAAATTAAATTTGAATCCTTGTCATATATGCATCTTTAATGTACTAAATTGAGTAACACAAATACCTATTTGGTGTATGATAAATTCTGTGAAATGCATAAAACTAATAGTAAGTTATTTTTATCTTTTCATTCACTAATTTCTATGTAAAATTAAATTAAGTTGTTAATTTATATTTTTTTACAAAATTATTGATGTTAATACAAAATACGTCAATAAAGCACAAAAAATTATAATATTAGTTCTGTTTTTATGTAACTTTTTAAATTTATATACAGGAAGTAGTTAAATGAATTTCTATAATAAATACTTTGTAATACAATTTTTATAAACTTTTAGATGAAATATTAATAATGATATTTTCAAAACATTCACTCAAAACATTGCTTTTCTAGACTTCACATCTTTATTATTATAGATATTTAGATTCATATATTTTTTTTAATGAATATGTGATTTTTAATTTTGACTGTTAATGTTCCTGAAGATGGACTGTAAAAACTTGAAAAACCTAAAATAATAAAGACATGAACTCTGAAAGAGTAGTGTTTTGAATGAATAAGTTAATATGGTAGCTGTTTTATATGTCAAATGAAGAATGGCAATGTTGACTATTAAGTTTCAAAACAGTCATAATGCAGTGTCAACTTTTGTCATTGCTATATTATATAATTTCATTTCTAATAATACAATTAATTAATAAAACAACATAAAAATAATTAAAATTTTAATAAAGTAAATGCTGTGTATATCATTGAAAAAAAAAAAATTATTATAAATACAAGTGCCTAGATTTTTGTCATGGAGAGTTACAGGTAAGATTATCCAGATTGATATTGACTATCCTATTGAAAGAATTTATCATTGTAAGCACACAATTAAACCAAAACTGGCAATTCTTAAAATGATTGACTAAATTAGAGGATGATCTATCAGATACCATGTGGATAATGGAAAGTTAAAATCTATTTTTTTAGTTTAAAATTTATATTTCTTTATATGTGTAATAAAATCTAATAATATAAATATTTTTTGTTGTAGATTCCTACAGATGCAAGTATTTTTAAAAAACATCTGGTTTGTTGCAATAGCTGTAATTGTTATTTTACAGTAGTGCCAGATCGTGGTAGACAAATTATTAGTGATGTTCCATTCTACAGTAGGAAAAGACAGAAAAAATGCCCTCGCTGTATTTTCTTAGAAAACGAAGCCATTCATCGGAAAGACACCCAAGTATATGAACGTATTTTGAAGAATTTATGGAACAAAGAGAGAAACCTTGGAATTTCAACTGGTCTTGTCTTTTTTCTTAAGGTCAGGTTTTATTTAATAATAATATTTTTATAAATACTGTATTAATGTTTTGTTTTATGTGTTAATTATATAGGCACATGACTGTGAATTAACAAAAGAACTTATACATTTAGCTGAAAGAGAAATCAGTCTTTTAGAAAGAGGAATTAAAGATGAAACTTTACAAGGACTACATCTACGTATTTTAACTTTATTCTGGAGTTATGTTAGTCAACCATTATTTAATCCAGAAACATCAAAATTAAGCAATGTAAGTTAAATTTTGTTCTAAATTTAAAATAATTTACTTTTAATTAATATTAATTTTAAAAAAGTAATCTTTGAATACTTTTTCATAAAATTATAGTTTTTTTTTTTAAGTTCAAATTAATGTTGGATAATCGAGAAAATCTTATTAAATTATTGAAAGAACATTCAATTTAATTTAAATTCATTATTAAAATGTTGACTATTATGAAAATTATTAATTTTGCATTTTGTTTTACATTTTACTCACTTGTCAGTGAAGTTTTCCCTGTCTTCCTTTAATTGCCAATTATCTTTCTTCCAACATTCATTTTTAATTTTGAATGTTCTTAGACTAGAAAAAATAATCAGTTCTTTACACTTATATAAGTTGGATGATCTAAAGAGTATTCAATTTGCAATAAAAGTTGATAAAATTAAAACCAAAATTCATTTTAGCAACAATTTTAATTTAATGACATTTTAATTAATTTTAGTGAATGATTTAACATTTTCAGATACTTCAAAAAATTAGTAAAACAGTAAATAAATTTATTTATTTTTTAAAAAATATTTTAAAGAAATAAACATGAATTTAAAAATATTTTTATTATATGATATTGAGTAAAATAAAAATCTAATTATATTTCAATGCAAATAATCACTCTACTAATTTCAGTTGCATTAACGATAAATGCATTTATTAATACAATACTGGACTAAATATTCAGCATACTTAGAACCAAAAGTAGTCCAGATTTCTGGATACAGGATGAATATACACTTAAAATATAAAATAAACAATGGAAAATAAAGAGCAAAACTGTCTTTAACAAACTGTATGCCAGCTGTCATACTGGAACTGGCATTGTGCAATTGTAAACATCACAGAAACCAAAACAAAGTCACTGCACGATGAATTACAGTTGTACTATAATCTTCCAAATTCAAAACTATATAATTTGTTTCAAAAATAGTTGATTTTCTAGTAATTGTGAATTTATAGAAGCTGGTATTTGTCTGGAACTACTATAATTGATATTTCTTGAATTTTAATAAGTATTATAAGTAATTATCAAATGAAAGTTCTTTGAGTGATTATTTTTGTTGAATTGATTAAAATATATTACTTTAGAATTTAAAAAAATTAAAGTACAGTATTGCTAATTATTTTTATTGCAAAATAAATTGTGCAATGCAAAAAAATTCTTATACTGTATTAAAATAAATTTTTAATATGCATATTACCTTTTCAATTATTATGTTTTTGTTTACTTTGTATATACTTTATAGAACTTTATATAAATGTTTTATCAAGCAAAATCATCANCTAACGGAAGATGAAGCTGAGGCTCATGATAAAATAGAGAATATTTCTGATGTATGTTAATTATTATGTATTTAATAATACAATAATAAATAATTTGAAAATAGTATTATATTAATATATAAATGTACATTTTTTGTACAGATATATGCTCCGGCATTTTTTAAAAATGTTGAAAGAAAACAGTTGTTAGCTTCTGTACATTTTTCTTCTTTGCCTCATCTTCTTCCTTACATAGAAACTTGTCTTGTGCATAAACTTCCCAAATTGCCACAATTACAAAGACAGTTTATCAAAGTTAAATCTGATAAGCTGTCTAAAGAACATTCCCATTCTGCTATGATCAACAATGAATACAACTATAGTGAATTGGAAACAAAAGAAATAGAACTTCAGAAAGAACAAGAAGGTGAAATATTTGAGTAAAGAAAATATTTAAAAGGATGATTTGAATAAAATAAATAATTGTTTATTATTTAATAAAATTTATAACTCTCAATCCTTCAAAAATGAATCACATTTCTGTATAATTTAAGTTTGTAATTTTAATAAGATTTAAGTGTTTAGCTGGATTTTTTAATAACATAAAAATTATTTTAATAAATAAGCACTTTATAAAGTTAAAATTTTCTGTAAGTTAACTAATTAATTAATTAAAATAGAAGTTTGATAATTTCATATTATTCATAAATGAGAGAACAAAGAAAACAAATTATAAAATGCTAAATTTAAATAATATATAATTTTCTTATTAAAAATTGTATAAAATTAATAATTTTATAGCTTATTTTATTTTAATAATGTTTAATTTTTTCATATAAATCTTTTTAAAAACAATGATTCAAGAATTCAAATTTCACAATAATGAATAATAATCTAATTACTGAATTACAACATGACATGCGTATGGCATATTCAATATTCATTATACTTTAGATTTATGTCTTAATAAAGTTTAACTTAATAAAAAAAAAACCAGTGAAATTTAATATCACATTCTTACACTTCAACCTTTTAATAAAGTTTAAAGTTAAAATAGATTACTTTCTAAAAATACTTATTTTAATTTAATAAATGTTACTGAAACTAATTAGAATTTCTTAATAGCTAAATTTATCTTCCGTAATAATTACATTTATTTAATATAATTTTAGCAACTAGTTTCAAGTACATGAAATTATTTTTATATTTTAACTATTTTGCTTTATATTGATTATTAATAGTTAAAATTAGAATGCAATAGTCATAGCATTTATTTGTATTTTAAACGAACTACCCACTTTATTAAAATACATAGCAGACCTTGCTATACTAACAAACTCCACCCCATATGCCCTATATTCAATCTCATTGGAATTATAGTGAAAGAAGTAAAATAAAAGTAAAAAACAATAGATTTAGAGGATGATAGATGTAACTTCTGTTTGTTTGAATCCACTCCACAACTTCAAAGATAATTTAGCATTTTTTTTCCTCCAGATTAATTAATTACAGTTACTATTTTTATAGTTATTTATTAGTATGTAATTTTATAATAATATATTTGAAAATGTAGAACAAATAAATTAATCATTATTAACATAAAATAACAAAATAATAGTCACAAATTAAAAATTTTATGTTATAAATCTGTTGTATTAAAAATTGGATTAATAGGACAAAGTTAAATTAGGTTCCAGTTAATTGTGACTGTTAAATTTCCACAACTTTGTATGAAACTAATTATGTATCATCAGCCATCTGTAAAAACTTAATTACAAAAAGAACTTTAATTAGAATTAATATTTAGGTGGAGCTACTTTTCCTGGTAAGATTTCATTCTTATCTTAAACAATAAATTCCATTAATAGAAAAATAGAGAAATAAATCTTTTATTGTAGCTGTATTATTCTATAAATTCATTTTTATTCATAAAAGTCATAAATACAGATATATCTGAGTTTACTGGTTTTATATTGGATTCAAAGAACTATTATCTGTTCATCAAAAATGATTAGAAAGTTTATTATACCATAAATTTACTTTCCTGGTTAAATCCAGAAAAAAAAATCTTAAAGGGGTGTAATTACATGTATATTTATTATCAACTTCCTTATTTTTTTTATTCATTTAATGTATATATTTCAAAAATTAGAGATGTTAATTTCTGTTTAATTAATACTGTAAGTCAATGAACATTTAATTCAGGAAATGGCAGATGTTCAATATTTATAGGAAGTTATAAAATCGAGAATGACAAACTTTGGTCCTGTTTCGTAACCAATAGGTAAGGTCTGCGACAGTAAAAAATAAGACATTTGCATTATTATTCTCTTTGGGTGTGACTCTTCATTCGTTAACCTGCAATCCACACCTTTCGGCCATGTTAACAATCAAGAATTTCGAGTTCTGTAAATCGATTTAACCGAAATATACGACATTCCTTTAGAAAACGTACCAAAAAACTTAATAACACGATAATAATGCTGAAAAATTGTATTTGTAAATGTATACTTTCTTTTGTTATTTAACTGGACCTATAAAGATACATCTATTTGTATTAAGTACTGTATACAGCCTATAGGCCTACATTTTAGTCACGGCACGTATTATTTTGCTTATATAAAAATAAAAGATTATCCAATTGACCTCCACACCTTTATAGTATACAGAAATCGATTAAGAACTATACTTTTCCTTTTAACTGAGATTTTATCTACAAAAGTTACCCAACCGAAACCAAATATTTAATATGCATTATACGTAACTATATAATCGATAATAATAACATTTTCTATAAATTAAATTACTATTATTATTACTGTATTATTACGAATATTTTTGAGAAATTTGTAAGGAAATTATGTAAAATTATCTTCAAGATTGTGAACGATAAATTTGTTCGACATAATCGTTTTATAAACATGTTTAATATTTTATTTTCAGTAGAAAAAGATAATTGTGGAATTATGGAGTGAGTCGGTTACAATCAGTGGCGTAACTATTATTAAATACGGTTAAGCAACGCTTAAGAACCCGTGACATAAGAGGTCCAGACCGGGTCCTAGGCACTGTTTCTATGGAAAACAGCATAAAAATGAGAATTCTTTAATTACATTAAAAATATATTAACATTTTTGTATGTTTGTTCTGTAAAATATAGCCTAGTGTTGTGTAATTTTGCACCACAACAGTTTATATTATAACAGTATACAAATAAAATAAATAAGAAAATTTAATTTGTATGTTTTGTGATTTGTAATTTTTCTTTACGTTTGCACCTTTTTTGTTACAACTAATATTTTTTTTTTGTTTAGCTTTTTGTAGATTCCTTTTTTGACATGAGTTTTTTTTGTTCGGTTTAAATTTTCTAACATTTTAAAAGTTTTTATACTGTCATGAATGTAAAATGGCTAGGATCTAAGCATCGGAAGATCCTTTGTCATATTTTGCTTAAGGGACAAATTTC